CAGGTGGAGCCCGCGACACTCTATTTTGATGCCACCCTCCAAAAACCTACAGCAAGTTTCTTATCTGTAGTTGTTTCGCGATCAATCAGAGTGATTTTAAGTGAGTAACCGCGTTCTTTAGTGTGTTCAAAATACCTGGACGTTATCTCTTGGGACAAATTCGCTTTTCACCCAATTAAAACTTATTGAAATCACTGGGGACTAGAGAAACCAAGGACCGACTTTTCAGGAGTCGATTGACCTAGCACTTTCGTGCCTAACCAGGTGACGGACCCACTACCCAGGACTGTGAAGAGGATAGAGAGTGCCATCTGCACCTTCGTAGTCTATGACCGTAAGCCAGATCATAACAATAGATAGGCCATGATGTAAGATAACAGGTGATCCCATATATTTTTATGAAATTTTTGCGCTGTTTTATTCAAGATGTAGCAGATGGCGTAAAACTAGGACCGTATATATAGTTGTACTACTAGTGTTGGCGAATACGAGTATAATACTAGCGAAAGTAATAGTATGTTGTTTACTTAAGAAAAAAATTCATTTATATCACAAGCCACTTAACTAATCTCGCTTGATGATGTATGCAGACTTTTATCATTTCTTAGTACACTTCATAATGTTGAGCCTTTTTTACAGTCTTTTACACAAAATTCTTTGCCCACCTTAAATAATTTAAATTTAAATCGATTAATAGAAATATCAATATAATTTTACAATTACATTAATTATTTTTATTTCTATTTTTTAGTGTTTACTGGCTCCATATGCTTGTCTGCTTGGGTCTCATTTTCTATTGTGACACCTTGCGCGAAAAAGTAGAAATGACACAAAATGTTCACAAAAATTTACTGAAGGAGAAATGGACAGTGGGATTACCTGTTGTCTTGCACCGTAAGAAAGGCCCCACTGCACCATGTCAGTAGAAAATATAGGTATTTACGAGTCACGATGTCAGCATATATACATATATACTACGTGGCCAGTTTTGAAGCAATACAGCCTATCTATATACTGTATGTATATATTTATTCCCACATTATCTGTTCGTAATACCATAACTTCAGTACGATGTAATTATTAATATATGTTTACTAAACCATCGGAGAGAAGCTTAATGTATAGTGAAAAAATTATTATAATTATTTAAAATCGATTCCAAAACTAAACTGCCACAACATAACCTCAAAATAATGAAAAAATGCGATATCTTAACGGAAAAGAAAGATAGGTCAAAGATAAAAAAATATACGGGTTTCTTACATGGAAATGAGATCTTTAAGGTGCACAAAAAGAGAGGTAATAGTTGATGTTACAAAATAACCTCAATATTAATTATTTAATACAATGTCTTTCGACAATTAATTTTAGAAATTGTAAAAAAATTATACCATAATAAAGAATTCTTACTATAAATTACTAGAATCGATTCCCTAATTATTTGATACTATAGCATGATAAGAAAATTATGATATGCATCTAAAATTTACTCCCAAAATATTTTACAACAATATAACCTTTAAAGAATAACGGAATAAGATATATAAAAAAAACCAGATATACCAAAATTAAAAATTTTTACGTGTATACTGAGGAGAATAAAATTATTGACGTCAAACAAAAAGAGAAGTCTTGGTTGGTGTTGCAACATTAAAGAGAGGCATGGGTAGAGAGAAGAGCCAAGCACGTTAAGGATTAAGTTTGCCAACCTTACGTACAAAAGGGACTTCGTTACAAATGCGTGTCCCACGACACGTTCGATTGATTTTTATTTTTTATTAGATAATTCATTACTTTTAAAAAACTGCTATTCATAATAGAACATACCTCCTTCCTGATAACTATGCAGAAGATCGTAGACCAATGTCTTGCTCTTAACGATCTCATTCACTCTAACTTGTCCAATGCTTGTTCCAACTGGAACGTTACCACCCACCCAGAACTCGTATGGCGCTCCAACAAAGTCTGGATCTTTTGACTCCTGGCCTTAAAAATATAAAAAAAAAAAATTCATTTTCTCACAGCTCTAAAATGTAGGCACTAGTTGTAAAATCGAATTATTTACAATATAAGTTATTATCTAGTAACTGGTAAGTCTTCAAATGAAAAACAGTAATAAGAGTAAAATTAATGCATTTCTTTTTTTTAAATTAAGTTTTTCTCACATTATTTTTAATTCTAAATGTACTCAATAAAAGACAATGAAAAAACAGGATACTCAGTTTAAAAAATTTTATGCATGGTAATTTTTTTGCGTAACACATGCAATTGTCAGATTTTCGTATTTTTCTGTGAATGAATAACAAGAAATTTATATTTTAACAAAATAAAAGTATAGATGATGAAGATAAAGATGCAACGTTTACTTGCGAATTTTGTCAGCAAAAATAAATTGGATTTTTTTCAACCCCATCTTGCCCCTCAGGGTACCCCATCTTACCCAACGGAGGGGGCATGATGGGGAGATCTGACCTTGTCTACTTTATGTCAATTTTCTATTTAATTATTTAACATATGTTCCTAATTAGAACTAGTTATGGAAGACTGATTACCAAAGATGATTACTGAAATAAAAAAAAAAATAAAGACACGAAAATGTTAGTTTTATTGAGATTCAAACGTTAAGTACCCCGTCTTACCCCCCTCTCCCCTAAATGGTACATGTGTACATAAAAATATGTAGTGTATATGTGTGTGCCAAACAAAAGGAAAGGTGTAAAAGGTGGCATAAAAATATAACAATAAAATATATGTACATATATACGTATATTTAGTCATAATTAGCCACAACACCCTCCTCTTTATCATCATCTTCATAATCATCATCCTTATCATCATAATCATTATCACCATCATCATTAAATTTATGTGTGATGTTGGCCTTTGATGCCTTATCGACACAGGTTTGTGCCTTCAGAAATAATAGGCCCTTAACGTAAACAAGTGGCCTACGTAACTACTGGCATGACTCACCCCAAAAACAAGACCAGCTTGGCATTGAGCTTACAGCTACTCATACTTTTGAAGGGACTTCCAAAACAACAACTTCACTCAAAGAAATTCAAGGACAAATTAGGACAAACAAGTGGCCTACGTGACTTTAGGCACAACTCACAAGCTATAGAAGGAGTTAAATTTTCCCGCAGCAGTTAGTTGGAATTGTAATTCGGTTTCAGGTGGAGCCCGCGACACTCTATTTTGATGCCACCCTCCAAAAACCTACAGCAAGTTTCTTATCTGTAGTTGTTTCGCGATCAATCAGAGTGATTTTAAGTGAGTAACCGCGTTCTTTAGTGTGTTCAAAATACCTGGACGTTATCTCTTGGGACAAATTCGCTTTTCACCCAATTAAAACTTATTGAAATCACTGGGGACTAGAGAAACCAAGGACCGACTTTTCAGGAGTCGATTGACCTAGCACTTTCGTGCCTAACCAGGTGACGGACCCACTACCCAGGACTGTGAAGAGGATAGAGAGTGCCATCTGCACCTTCGTAGTCTATGACCGTAAGCCAGATCATAACAATAGATAGGCCATGATGTAAGATAACAGGTGATCCCATATATTTTTATGAAATTTTTGCGCTGTTTTATTCAAGATGTAGCAGATGGCGTAAAACTAGGACCGTATATATAGTTGTACTACTAGTGTTGGCGAATACGAGTATAATACTAGCGAAAGTAATAGTATGTTGTTTACTTAAGAAAAAAATTCATTTATATCACAAGCCACTTAACTAATCTCGCTTGATGATGTATGCAGACTTTTATCATTTCTTAGTACACTTCATAATGTTGAGCCTTTTTTACAGTCTTTTACACAAAATTCTTTGCCCACCTTAAATAATTTAAATTTAAATCGATTAATAGAAATATCAATATAATTTTACAATTACATTAATTATTTTTATTTCTATTTTTTAGTGTTTACTGGCTCCATATGCTTGTCTGCTTGGGTCTCATTTTCTATTGTGACACCTTGCGCGAAAAAGTAGAAATGACACAAAATGTTCACAAAAATTTACTGAAGGAGAAATGGACAGTGGGATTACCTGTTGTCTTGCACCGTAAGAAAGGCCCCACTGCACCATGTCAGTAGAAAATATAGGTATTTACGAGTCACGATGTCAGCATATATACATATATACTACGTGGCCAGTTTTGAAGCAATACAGCCTATCTATATACTGTATGTATATATTTATTCCCACATTATCTGTTCGTAATACCATAACTTCAGTACGATGTAATTATTAATATATGTTTACTAAACCATCGGAGAGAAGCTTAATGTATAGTGAAAAAATTATTATAATTATTTAAAATCGATTCCAAAACTAAACTGCCACAACATAACCTCAAAATAATGAAAAAATGCGATATCTTAACGGAAAAGAAAGATAGGTCAAAGATAAAAAAATATACGGGTTTCTTACATGGAAATGAGATCTTTAAGGTGCACAAAAAGAGAGGTAATAGTTGATGTTACAAAATAACCTCAATATTAATTATTTAATACAATGTCTTTCGACAATTAATTTTAGAAATTGTAAAAAAATTATACCATAATAAAGAATTCTTACTATAAATTACTAGAATCGATTCCCTAATTATTTGATACTATAGCATGATAAGAAAATTATGATATGCATCTAAAATTTACTCCCAAAATATTTTACAACAATATAACCTTTAAAGAATAACGGAATAAGATATATAAAAAAAACCAGATATACCAAAATTAAAAATTTTTACGTGTATACTGAGGAGAATAAAATTATTGACGTCAAACAAAAAGAGAAGTCTTGGTTGGTGTTGCAACATTAAAGAGAGGCATGGGTAGAGAGAAGAGCCAAGCACGTTAAGGATTAAGTTTGCCAACCTTACGTACAAAAGGGACTTCGTTACAAATGCGTGTCCCACGACACGTTCGATTGATTTTTATTTTTTATTAGATAATTCATTACTTTTAAAAAACTGCTATTCATAATAGAACATACCTCCTTCCTGATAACTATGCAGAAGATCGTAGACCAATGTCTTGCTCTTAACGATCTCATTCACTCTAACTTGTCCAATGCTTGTTCCAACTGGAACGTTACCACCCACCCAGAACTCGTATGGCGCTCCAACAAAGTCTGGATCTTTTGACTCCTGGCCTTAAAAATATAAAAAAAAAAAATTCATTTTCTCACAGCTCTAAAATGTAGGCACTAGTTGTAAAATCGAATTATTTACAATATAAGTTATTATCTAGTAACTGGTAAGTCTTCAAATGAAAAACAGTAATAAGAGTAAAATTAATGCATTTCTTTTTTTTAAATTAAGTTTTTCTCACATTATTTTTAATTCTAAATGTACTCAATAAAAGACAATGAAAAAACAGGATACTCAGTTTAAAAAATTTTATGCATGGTAATTTTTTTGCGTAACACATGCAATTGTCAGATTTTCGTATTTTTCTGTGAATGAATAACAAGAAATTTATATTTTAACAAAATAAAAAATTATTTTCTTCTACAAATGTACTTCAAACCATCGATTTTGTATAAAAATCTTTTTAAAACTACGATACTATCAACTAAAATGAAATTTGAAGGTTTTACATGGTACGTCTTTCAAGTTCGAAATACTGAGTTATGTAATTCATTTACAGAAATTCATGAAAACTCAGCTAATTATTTTTCCAAACAGATATTCTTGACACTTACTTACAAAAAATTGGCAAGATTACGGGGATGTGGTCACATGGAGCATGGATTCCGTATACGAAACCAATTCGAGCCTATGAGAGTGCGAGAGAGGTATTTTCCGTACACCTCTCTCTCTTTCTCTCTCTCGCTCTCATGAGCTCCAATGGGTTCCATGTACGGATTCCATACTCCATGTGACTGCACTCTTCACCTTGCAAAATAAGTGATAGTGTAATTGAAATGTTTGAATTGAATTATCATATAAACATCAGCTGTTAAAACTATGAAGTTTTGGAACCATAGTTGAAATGGTATGTAGTAAACAAGATAACTTTTCAACGGCCACTGTTAACCATATGCGCGTAATCTGATATTTATTTTTTATACAAAGAAAATAATTACAGAAATCTTTACCATAAAAACAACGGTCATCCTGGGATATTTTTGAAATACGGAAATTTTCACTAAAATTTTACGTAAGTTTTTATCGGACTTAACTGCTATTTTTATAAAATTTGCAGGGGTATCGTACGCATTAATACAACGTAACAATTGTTTTTACTGAAAGTTGAGGTCTTTAGAACTACAGCAGATGGCTCGAAATTGGGTCCCCATACAAGGCGTGTTGAAAAGGCTTCTCCACGAAACTCGTTAAGGCCCTCACCTTTAGCTTGTGCCATAAACCTTTCGATTTGTAATTCGAAGTCTTTACAAAACCTTACGTAATATATACTATAACACGCTTAGCTTTCTTGACAAATATAGTAATTTATTGGTAAAGTCGATGTAAAAAAAAAATCTGATCTGCTTTCACTTGTGATCTCGCCTAGAGCTACCTATATACTTTTTTAGGGATAATTTTTGAGTTCTTTTATGGAATAACCTACAGTGAGGTTTTGATGAATAATAAAGTTCCGACAAAAATTACTGTTAACAGTTGCAAAAATCTCCAGAATCACAGAATTACCCTCCCTTTTATACGATAAAAATAATTGCTTTTGCAGCACATAGCCTATACATTACTTGTAATGTTTAGCATTTTAGTAAGCACGTTTTTCAGGAATTACCCATGAACAGATAAATTGTACCCACCATCACTTTGAAGTACTTCAATCGTGACAACGGCAAGAGAAGATCGTTTTTCACTTGGATTTGATGGCTGATCTGCTGCTTCAATAAAAATTACATGTTTCCCTTCAGGAACCGAATTTTCGGAGATAGTTATCACACCAGTGTCAGGATTCACAGCAAAAGGTATGCTATTGTTGGAATTACCCAGAAGTTGAAGTGTGTACTTTACTAGGCCATTGATACCTAGATCCTTGTCAACTGCGTGAACCTGTTGAGAATAAGAAATATATTTTTCAAATAGTGAGATTGACCGTTGAGAAAAGGCAGTAACCACTTTAACCCTAAGTCAATTTCAAATCAAGTAAGGCTATGAATGTGATATATTGTAACAACAAAGTGGAAAAAATCATTATTAAAAGTATTATTGGAAAGAAATACAAAATTGTTTGAAATTATGATTAACAGTTATGTAAGTCTTTATTACTACTGCTAATGCTTGGAATAGTTTACTAAAAAATAAGTTCTTTTATAAAGCTTCTGATTTTTATGAAAACAAGATATTTTTTGTCAATGTTATAATAGTTAACGGATTAAAATAGTGGTGTATATGTATACAAAACTTTTACACAGTTTTGATTAAAAATTTTTTTCATTGCAATGTATGAAAATATTTTAGAAACAATTAACTTTACTGATACGGTTTTTTGAACGTAGATACATAGTGAGACCCAAAAGTTCTTAGTTTTATGGGACTCTACATAACTTAGTAAGCATGTAGAAAGTATTTTTTACACTCAAATTTGAAAATTTAGTATACTAAGATATTACGTTTCGGTTACGTACGGTCATTCATGTTAATCAAGTATATACCTGACCAATGATGGTACCAGCTTTATAATCACTATGGGCAACAAATTGCAGTAAATTTCCAGAAACAAAAACAGGATTGTTGTCATTGGCATCAAGAAGTGTCACTTGAACGTCTACCGAGGATGAGACATTAAAGGGCTCGACGTCACTTGGACGCTTTTCAATAGCTACGACTTGCATTTTAAGAAACGATTTCTTCTCACGATCAAGTACATTTTGATTATGTACTGTGAGCCAACCTGTTGCTTCATCAATAGCAAAAGCATTAGATGGGTCTCTCAGCTCGTATGTGAATTCACCATTTTCACCTCTGTCATGATCCACAGCCATTACCTAAAATTTTATCCAAATCTTATTTATAATTATGCTTAAGAAATATTATTTACCATCTAAAATAGGAGTTCACATATTGCAACAATGATCCATACTTTATGGAATTTTTTTTTTTAGATGTATAAAATCCGAATTTGCACTCAGAATAATGAAAAGGTAGTAATCGACTGAGACCTTATTGTATATAATAGAACACTATTTCCAGACATTTTTTCTTTTTTTATTCTAATATTTTTAAATAACATAAAAATCAAAAAATACTAGCTTGTCATAGCTCTATAATCGCAGAAACTTTCAAGTTTGAGTAGTATGAATAAATTTATAAAGTATTGTAACAAAAATTTTCAATGTTAAATTTATGCATTTTGAATTGTAATCCTACTCATAGTTTTTTCACTAGTACGTTAAAAAATTTTTTCATTAAAAAATTGAGTTTTTTACTTAAGAACAGATACACACGAATAATACAATAACAAAAATCAATAAACTGCGTTAAACACCATGATAAAATATTATCAAATGATAACATGGTATTTAACATATCTTTTAATTTTGTTTTTTCACGTGAACAAAAACGGGCTAACATAGAGCGTACAAATTGAAGTTGTTCGATCAACGAAAAAGGGTACGTTTGTTTTAAATGTAATTATGTATAAATAAAAAGTGACGCAATGCCAAGCTTTGATAAGCTCTATCTTTGACAGTTATTGCTTTGGGTAAAAAAAAATCGATTTCCGAAAAAAAAATCGCATTTCCTCCTTATGTATAAATAGACAAGCTATGTCAGTTTCAGAGCACTTATCTGAGAGTAATACAGAATACACCACAAGACGTACGAGTTGGAACGGGGCTACCATTGGGTATGCACACGTTAAAATCTATCGAGACTCAATCGATTTTATCTTTATTGGTCACCAACTTGCTGATAAGTCCACAAATTTCTCCTTTCTCAACCATATGCCAATAGTACACACTGCAAACCTTTTTCTGTATCTAGCTACACCTGATGCTTAATTTTCTAACCTATAAGTACCTACCAAACATGAGGCAAGCCCCTAGAGCTAAGCTGTAAATTACATCATGCGGGGGGAGGCACTCCCAACTTAATTTCTGAGAAACAAGGCAGCCTTAGTGGCTACCCGACTCCCACGAATTTTGATACTTACACGAATGTGGCTAATGCCTTCCGGAAAAAACCAATGAAACACCAGAACATGACGTAAAGTCCGATATCAAAAAACCCAACAGAAAAGAAAGTCCTGCTGGACCTATCCCATCCCTACAAATACAGCAACAATACAATCCACAAACTTCCAAATTCCTCCCCACACTCTCCGATTACCCAGTGGAAATCAGGGGTCCATATAAAGTAATCGTCCAACCTATCTCCTCTCCTACAGAAAACCGTAAAAAAGCCATATACACCCACTTAACGTCGCGAACTTGATTACTACTCTCTACCCTGACCAAATCGAAAGCTTCCAATATTAAGGCAGAGACAAACTCGTACTCGTCACTTACCATCGCAAGGTCACTAATGCAGTTCTGCAATCGAACTCTCTGAAAGAAAAGGGACTTGAAGTCTTTATCTTCTCTGTCGATGTCTTCAAAAAAGATATAATTAAAACTATATCCATCTAACACACTGAATCAGAAGTTCTACAAAATTGTGTTCTCCACTCTCCAGCATCAGACTTGAAAGTCTATAATGCTACGAGGTTTAACAGAAGAGCCACTACAGGTGATTAAATTGTGTACTTACCTACTGGCACGATTTTTTTCGCTTACACACGTCAACTCCAACCTCAACGTGCCAACCTGTTCAAGCTTAAAATCTCGGTTGAAACATATATCCCTCGAGTGAAGTTATGTACTAAATGCTACAAACATGGTCACATTAAATCCAACTGCAGATCCAAAGCTAGGTGCATTCAATGTGGTAGCTATGAACACGACCAAGGACTATGTCTAACCTCTCCAGATCAGGCCACCTGTATCAATTGCAAAGAAGTTCTTCATCTTCCTACAGACCAGAATTGCAAGATCAAAAAATTGGAGCAAGGTATATTAAAACATGCAGTCAAAAAATCTGTCACAGTCATCCACCAGGCCTCCTTTAACAACTTTCCAAAAGCTAACTCGATTAAGACAACTATACAAAAACGCCCTCATTTATCCAACTGGACAAGATAAATTTACGTCCACAGCATCTCTGAGCCTAAACTTCACTTCTAACACACAGTATCATAGTTTGACTCCAACTCACAAAGACTTTCCCAGAAATGGTTGCACTATCCTGACAAACTCCGACGGTATCACTGCCAATGACGTCTCAGTACTCATGGAAGATATTGTCGGCTTTTTTGTCTCCAACACAAACCTTACTTAAGTATTCATAAATAAACTATAGTTAGTTCTCGACGCACAAAACCTATTTCATATGGATCTAACCACTATTTAGAAGAAAAAATAGAAGAACCATAGAACATGGTGACCTTGCCAGTACAATAAAAAATAACATACCCTTTTAAATAGAAAATAACATCTACCACATTGAAAACAAGTTAGAAACTCTAGCTGTCACCATTGCACTAATAAACAATTTTAACGACTCTCACAACTCCCTACTTATAGTTTTACTATACAGAGTACCTTCTAAATTCACCACCTTAAATTACTGGAATAGCCTATTTACCTCTACAAGGCAATTAACATTTACCATACGAGCGGGTGATTTTAACTCTCATCATCAATTATGGAGGGCACAGAAACCATGCCCCTCTGGTGGTAAACTCGTGGACTCACTTAACGATGTCAATCTCACAGTTCTCAATGACAAAACATATACTTACATTAAAGACACTTCTAGAACATCTTCCTTGCAACCATAGCCATCTACTAGCAGCAATACTATTTTATCAACACTTGACCTAATTCTATTAACAACTAACACAATCAAAAATTACTTCTGGAAAGTTTCAAGCTATAGAATAAAAAGTGACCATTGCCCAATCTCTTGCTTTTTACATAATATGAGCCTGTCCAAAATTTCATTTAACAGCACCCACAAATTTGACCACAAAAACGTCAGCTGAAAAACTTACAATTGTCTCCTGGATACGTTAATCTCAAAAAACAGAGAAAGCATCATCTTACTAGATCCTGACACAAAATACCAAACTCTCATAAATCTTGTTACTACCATTATACCCTATCTTAATAAAAAACATTCTGTAAACAATCCAGATTCTTCTACTCACACTAGTATGCTACCACCACTACTGAAGACGTATCTAATTCCCTGAAGGATTTCACGTCCATAGCTAACAAAAGCATTAACACAGACCTGGTAAAAATTTTAAATGCCGATCCATTAAAGCCCTTCGGTGGAACACAGAATAAAATTTACTGAAACTCAAACTAGTAGAAACCCAAACAAAGAACCGACTCAGAATTATTAAGAGAGACGAATACAAGCAGTTTGTTGATAAAAAATCACACCCAGCACTAATGCAAAAACCTAATGGAAAACCATCACCTCTTTAAACAATATAGTGAACAACAAATCAAATTTTCCACCAAATGGTATAGAATAGGTCAATAATTTCTTTTAATTCATAACCCACCAATGCCATGAATCACCAGCCAGCAACTCTACAGTGACTGATCTCAACCCAATAAATTGCCTTTTATCAAGTGTCACACTTGACGATAATTCATATCTAGACCAACCATTTACACTTCAAGAACTCAAGCGTGCCCTAGATATTATTAATCTTTACTTTTCCTCTGGTTTCAATCAAATCAACAACCTAATGCTTCAAAGAGCCCCCAACTTATATCTTGAACTGTTGCTAAAAACTTAAAATCACTATTTCACTACTCAAAACTTCCACAAATCACGAAAAAATTTTCTTATTGTTTTCATCCCTAAAACTTAAAAACATAAATTTAGGCTCATTGCCTTAGCCTCTTGTGTACTGAAACTTGCAGAAAGAATTATTAACACCAGACTACAGCACTTCATCAAACACAATAATTTAATTCCAGATACGCAGTACGGCTTCAGAAAACACAAATTTTGTCGACGGGTGCTGGCTCACTTCCTAGCTAATACTCACTCTGACAAAACCAACGACCAACACACTTGTGCCGTCTTACTCACATAAAGTCTGCTTCCGACCTAGTCTGTCCAAAAATCCTTAATGACGTGCTTTTAAGAATATCTCTTCCCTCAAAAATGAGTCACTTTATTTACCATCTCACAACTAATAGAAAACTATACTTTAAAATTGCAAATGACATATCTGGACCGTACTCAAAAAACATTGATGTACCTCAAGGATGCGTATTCAGCCCGCTACTTTACAATATATACATCTACCAACTATACCAACACATCCCTGACAATGTTATTCTTCTCCAATATGCTGACGACTCTATTCTATATACTTCAGATACTGATATCAACACTTGCAAAACCAAGCTAGAAAACGCCTTACCCCTCACAAACGACTTCTTTTTTGGAAAAAGCTAGGAATTTCCTTAGTAAAAACAAAATTTTTTATAATTTCCGATCTACCTTCAGAATCCATTCAAAATCATTCTATAAACTTCAGCAATACCATAATTTTTCCATCCAGTCAAATACCTAGGCCTTACAATTGACTCACAACTAATGTGGAAGTCTTATGCCCAAATTGTTATCGACAGAATGTTCAAGCTTTTAAACGTAATTAAAATGTTAAGAGGCACTTGGTGCGGTGGACATCCTTCAGCACTCTTCAAAATTTACACCTGCGTTATCAGAAGTATATTAGAATATGGCTCTCGACTCAAACGCATAACTAATGCCAAACTCAGAAATAGAATGCCACTCCTCCAGAACTAAGCCATCAGGCTCTTTGTAGGGTATAGAAATACCACACCAGTTAAAGTGATGCATTCCAAAACCAAAATACCTCTTATACATTATACAATTCAACATCTTACAAAAAAGT